GTAGGCTTTCGAGCCTATACAGCTTGGAGTAAGACAACATGCATGAAGAGGATGATGTGGACAAAATACTCATTTGCCTAATAATTCTGCACTCCCTGTACGATGTGAGGCTGAGTCTTATAAATGACAGATCCGTGTAAAAACGTCCTCCACTGTTGTTGGGACGTCCGGCCCCAGATTTCCTGTTGTTCACAAACCTGCCGTCCTCCCGGCAGCGTGGGATACATGCTGAAAGATGCCAGGACAGGAACACAGCTGAACTGTACAGTCGCCATATGTTTGCATGTATGTGGCATCGTCCGTGTGAGCGAGCTCGGCCTCCTCGTGCACCGAAGAACAGATCACGCGACGCCAGACGACCAAACCCCTCAATAATGTCCTCCCTTTATTTTTACATCTATCAGCAAACCCAAACCTTCCTCGTCACCCTCGACCGTTTGTCAGTGCGATCGTCGTGGGCGGCCATTTTAGATCGCCATCGTTGAAGCTGCAGAATAATTTCCCGTGCGGCTCTCTGCAGATTCGGATGAGATGGCGGATGTGTCCGTGTGATTCTTATAAATAACTAAAAGAAAGCGTTTGCGTGCGCGTGGCTCTGCAGAGATGAGGCCTCGCTCATAGATTCAGTATTCTGCCTGCATCTGGGTGACAGGGGGAGAGAGGGGAGGATACTCGAGGGGGATTCAGCTTGTACATCACCCTGCGCCCCAGTGGACGACAGATGTGAGTGTGTGAGTGTGGGTGAGCTGAGGGGGGTGGCAGACTTGTGTGTCTGTACACACACACTGTGTACATCTGCATACTCCAGCATCTGTGTGCTAGTCTCTTTGACCTTCTCTTTGGTTTCTAACCTGTGTGTGTGTGTGTGTGTGTGTGTGTGTGTGTGTGTGTGTGTGTGTGTGTGTGTGGTGGGCTGGTGGGGTAGAGGGGCCCACGGGGGACGGCGACGGCCCCCCGCTCCCCGAGCCCGGCTGCCTGGGCCTGGCTTGGATTCCGCTGGGGCTCGCCTAGTTGCCTTTGTGCTCGCCACCGGCTGACAATCCCCATGTATATTTAATGCTAACCTGCTGTCTGTTCTAACAAATAGGACTTCACAGGTGGGGGGGGCTGAGGACAGGGGAGGAACGGGGGAGAGGGGGGGTGGGAGGCAGGGATTTGGAGGAATAAAAAAGGAGGAGTGTGTGGTGGAGGAAGACATCGACAGACAGCGGAGAGTGAAATCAAACACAACCTCTGGCTGCTTCAACGTCTTCCAGCCGAGAGAAGGTCACCGCAGGGACGCGCGTGCACGCATCCCTGCAGCTATTGCAAGAACCCTATGCAAACACATCACACAAGTGCAGCACAAGTACACAACGTCCGTGTGGGTCTTTGTGCTGCCTTCGTGTCTCTGTGCGATCGACTTTTAGAGTTTAGATACGAGTTTGTGTCTTTGGCTGAAATGATGAAATGGATTTCATCTCAGGTGTCACGGGACTGTGTGCCCTCTGCATAGGCATGTTGTTTCACAGCAGTCACGCGTGTTCACAGACTACTGTACAGTCATGCATTCATACTCCGTGTACTTTGGCCTGCATCCATCTGCAGCGTGATAGTCTAAGAAACATTCACAGCTGTTCAGATTCTGTAAACGGCACGAGAGCGACGACACTGTGAGCGACGACACTGTGAGCGACGACACTGTGAGCGACGACACTGTGAGCGACGACACTGCGCGAGCATGTGTTCCCACGTGTTCCCACGTGTTAATAGGACTAAACATGTTCAAACCTTCACCCCTGTAAATGTTGTCAGTGCATAATCAGATCAGAGGGGACAGGAAATTACACGTGGAGGAAAAAAGAAGGAAACAAAGAACCTGAAAAGACGATTTTCGTCATTTGGCTACTGCCACTAACTCAGACCTTCAGACGTGACATCCACTCACCGGACACGTGATCAGGTAAATGTGCTGCTTGACTCCACAAAGTGCTTTATACATCAGTCCTCTAAACTGCACTGATACTTCGTGTGGTGGATTCAACAAGGAGCAGGAGACATTCCTCAGAGATGCTGCTGTGGTCCTATCTCCCTCAGGGTTCAACATGTTGTGCGTTCAGCGATGCTCTTCTGCATATTTTGGTTGTAATCAGTGATTATTTAAGTTACTGCGGCCATCCTGCCTCAGCTTGAAGCAGCCCGGCCACTCTCCACTGACCTCTGACCTCTGACCTCCAAAAGTAATTTTTTCCTAGAAAACTGCTGCTGTCTGGATGCTTTCACTGTTTCAGGGTATTCTCTGTAAACCCTAGAGATTGTTCTGTGGGAAAATCCCAGCAGTGTGTGAAACAGAGGAGCACATCTGCTCACTCTTTCTTACAGTTTGAACTTAAGCATTTTGTCTTGGTCTAAAAGATGCTGCCATGTGATTGGGTGATTAGGGATCTGTGTTAACAGACAAACAGGTGTACCTAACAAGGTGGTTGCTGAGTGCAGCTGTCAGTAACAGGAACTAGATTGGGTATTTGGGCTGTTTTAAAGAAGAACGACCATCGACTCAGTTTTTGGACTGCGGGCTTCAGGACGAGATTGTTTTTCAGTCTGAGACGTGGCTCCTGGAGATGTCCTGAGTGGAGAACTTCTGGGTGATCCTGATACCAGTAGTTAAAACCATTTAATGATCCACAGGGATGCAGACAGCAAAGACAGCCCACACAGTGTGGAAATATTTAGCCAGAACAAAATGATCGTGACAACACTTACACATCGGCTGCTGCAGTCCAGACCTGCCATCTTATTTGCGCGTAGCGGTCAACCCGGCCAAGAAGTGAACAGGCCCCAGACAAATGCATACCTGTGACACTGCTTGCATCCCTTCCCTGTCCTGCTGGTGTTTGCTTTTATCATTTTACGTCTTGCACTGTAATCGTTTCCTCCCCTGGCTTCTATCCTTCCCAGGTTGGTGCAACTATCCGCTGGACCAGCTGGGCTTTTGGAGATCCATGGAGAGATTAATCGAACAGCTGACTGGGCAGAAACCTCGATCGGACGACCTGGCGTGGGCAAAGAAAACTGACTGAAGAACAAATACACAAGGGTTGAATGGAGGGAGGGGCATGCAAAGGAAAATGTACACAAATAGGAATGAATGGGGAAACCAGACAAATGCATATAAATGTAACTCCTGTCTCTGTGCTCATCACTTCTTTGCTGAAGAGCAAACACAGAATCTGCAAACAAACAAAACGACGGTTCACGTGATTCGTAGACACGTTGGAGTCTGTATTTGAACAAGCTTTGAACACAGCGAGGTCATCAGTAGACCAGAAACAGCCAATCATCTCGTGCGTTTGTAAGCCTGTGTGAGCGACGCGGCGTGCTGGTGTGTAGGAGGTTTCTGGAGGTTGGGCTCTCCAGGAGTGACACCACGCTGCCTGTCGCAGGCACAGCACGCACACACGCATGCACACACTCTCTCTCAC